AAGTAACTTCAGTGATACATTTAACTTTTAAATATGAAGGGAAGTTTGGTTTTGAAGAATCTCTCATGCATAAATAAAATTTGACCTTACTATCCACATAACATAATGAGTTGAAGGGATTCGTATATTTATCCTACAAAAGTCGTAGTTATGACCGGAGTTTTGGGCAACCAAGTTCTAGGCGCATCGTCCAAGGATCTCGATAAATCCGTGCTGATCATTCGCCTATTACATAACAGACAGCATTAAAGCGTGAAACGACGCTGCATAAAAGATATTTTGTGTTTTAGTGCTTAATTAGTCTTCTTAAGGCATACTTTCGTGCTCTGACGACTTCTGCCACACACAAAAATACAGCATGGAGTCACAGAATTCTGCCCCGATGACTTATTTGCGCAAACCCATGGTCATAAATTCAAAGCAATCCCCCAATGGCTTAAAGTGAAGCCAATTTAAGATAGCTTTCACTAGCCATTGCAAACCGATTGAAAGTTATTGCATCATATTTAAATTTTATTGCGAAACAACTTTTCTTTTTGTGGTTATTAATTGATAATTATATCTCCTAAATGAAAAATAAATTTTCAGACGAGACTATCTGGTCAAGGATAGGCAATCTGAGACCTTTTCTCATGCCTTCTTCCTAAAAAGGTAGGCTAGCTTGGGTAAAAGTCAAAAAAATATAAAAAGTTTTAAAAGGAACCCTCACAATTTCTTTGATCATATGTTATCAATCTCCGGCTTTTACAAGATTGTGACTTCATGTGATTGCCCTTGTGCTGATGAGATCCGTCGGCCTTTTGGCCAAATATAAGAGAAACACAAAACTGCTTATAAATGTGAAGGCCAAGATGGTGTGTCCTTCTGTTTTGTCGCAGTCTCCTTTAGCTTTATAGTGTTGGATCGACTTTATTTTCGCAACTTGGTCGGAGCGTCAGGAAGACCTTGTGGAACGTACTCATTCCAGTGTCCTCTGCCATAGTATTCGTGATTTCCAGCATCGGACCATTGGCTAGGTACATTCTCAAACGTCAGTGAGACGCGCCATCTTGAGCACAGAGTTAAATAAGTTGTAAGGTTTGAGAATGTACCTAGCCAATGGTCAAATGCAGGAAATCACAAATACTATGGCACAGTACAGGGGACTAGGTAAGTTCCAGAAGGTGTCCTTGCAGCTCCGACCGAGTTGTTAAAACGAGGTCCAACCAACACTACAAAACTGCTTGTTTATGCAAAAGGGTCCAAAGTTCAATAGCGGCCGAACACAGAGTAAGAATGGATACGAGATTGAATGTTTTGCTGATTAGAGTGCGTCTGCTAAAAAAACACTAGACAAGAGAGGCTGTTCAAATTAAGAGATTGGGGAATACGTTGAATTCATGTGCTGGATGTAGAAAATTGAGTAAGAACTACAATTTCTTTATTGGTAGACTGAAGAGGGGAGAAAAACTTGAGTTGCCAGCCGAAAAAACGACCCAACTTTCCAATTAATTGGTGCTTCTTTTCCCATACGTTTGACAGTCATATAGCTCTCATAAATGCAATGGGACTTATGAGATAATGCAAACCAAATCTGCCTTTATCTTGGCTCACTAAACTTTACTTACTTTACACAAATGGGTTATGAAGAGTAAAATAATAAGCTTCAGAGTAGGACAGTGGACGTGGTAGATTCGTAGACTTTTCATCGGCATCGTAGTCGGCATCGTCAGTGAGTCTCGCACCAGACAAAAACTTGTCAAAGAGACAAGTGATGCGGATCCTTTGACCAAACGTGTGCTAAACAATAGTGGTATCTCCGTTTCTGCCCTGGGTTATTCGCGTTTCCGGTAGCCTCCTATCATGCCTTCACTAATACAGTTTTTACCGTGTTTATTTGGAGATAGTGTGATGTGCTCCTTTAAGCGACATGAAACCTTCACACTTCAACTGTCGTTTCCTCCCCCCCTTCATCCTTGTGCAGGGAATGTTGATCAAGGTCCTAGTCCTATCCCAGTCTCCCTCTTGTTCCGTAAAATCAGTCTGCTCTACCCCTTGTTCCCCTATTTTACTCGACTCCTGCCACCAAATTTGTCCTACTCGAGGCGTTATTCACACTCCGCTGTGTCTGGGTGACTAATTCGAGGCGCAAGCCTCTGAGTGTCATGATCACCCCTTTGCTAAATGCACCACGTCTCTGGTACAACAGACCTACCGTTAGCCAACTTGCTCCGAACCCCGCCATGTCTATCCAGTTTATATCCCTAATACCAAGTCTATGATTTGCCATGCCCTAGTCTCTTATGTGCCAACCCACAAATGTTGTGTTACAGCTTGTTTTGATACCAGAGGAGGGGGCAGAAGGGGAGATACGACAATTGTTTAGCACACGTTTGGTCAAAGGATCGGCTTCACTTGTCTCTTTGACGATTTGTTGAATGGTGCTAAGACTGGCTGGACTCACTGACGATGTCGACTACGATGCCGGCGAAACGTTTGGGAATGTACCACGTCCACGGTTCAACTTTGGAAATGATCATGTCCACAATGGAATCCCGATGAGGTGCGTTCCTCTAAGTCTTCCTACTAAGGTCAAACAACTTCTAATTAATGAAAGGAGACTGCGACCACACAAAAGGCTACACTATCTTGGTCTTCATACGTTTTATAGGTTCCGAGTGACTTTTATGTTTTATCTATCCCAGTCGAGCTTTTCCTTGGGCCATTAAGCCTTGATGGCCCGGTCATCATGTTAGTCTTTTTTGTACCCAAGCCAACACATGTACGAATTTTAACACACACGCATGCACACACAAGTTTAAATATCATGAATAATAACTTGTCTCTTTGACGAGTTGTTGTCTGGTGCTAAGAATGGCGATACTCACTGACGATGCCGACTACGATGCCGGCGAAACGTCTGGGAATGT